TGCAATCCCAACCTGACTGCCAGTGAAACCTGAAACACCTTCAAAAGCTTACCATGGCTCTGCTTCCCATCAACTTTCATTCACCTACAAAACTTTCCCCAGCCCAGTGATTTCAGAAATTCCAGTCAAGCTTACAGGAAAAATCCCCTTCTGAACATGTAAGACTGAGATATCTCACACTTCTACTTTCCAAGTCCGGTTGAAGACAGAATGCAAAGCCACATCTTCTTAAAAGAAGAAGAAGAAAAAAAGAAAAAAAAATTGTAAATCCCCAGTTCCCATCACCCAGGGAGCTGCACTTGCTCTATATCTGGAAATGCCAGATGCATACCATGAAAAAATGACATTTCTTTGTCTTCAAAGCTGGGCTACATCTCCATATGCTGCAGTGTCTGCCTGTCATTTGCAGGCAATTTGACAAGCCAGCAAGTCTAAGAACACTTCCAGTCTCTTAAGTTCTAGGTCTTACCAGGAAAACAAATGCTGAAGTCATGCTAGTACTTAAGGATGGGTTTCTCAAACAAAACCAATTGTCCAAATCTGACAGTAGATGGCATCAAACTTTCCTCCTGGTCCTGCCACTCTGCTGTGTCATAGACCATTTCCAGCTCTGCTCAAGCAGGACCAGGGGGGCACCTGGTGTTTATAGAATACCCAGAGCTGGAAGAGATCCACAAGAATCATTGAGTCCAATGCCTGGCCCACACAGCACCATCCAAAAATCAGACCCTATGTCTGATGGCATTATTTAAACACTCCTTGAACTCCAGCAGCTCGGGGCTGTGCCCATTGCCATGGAAGAGACTGTTACATGCCCACCGCCTTCTGGTGAAGAGCCCTTATCTGACCTGAATGTTCACTGTTTGCCACTAACTTCTGCCTGACCACAGATATTGTACAAAACACTATTAAACCCACAACTTGTATGTAGCCAGGACTTCACTCATGAGATCCACTGAGGCCAGGGGAAAAGGGGAACAAGAGAAAAGTTGAGGGCGTGGAATCACTTATTTTGGTATCCTGGTGAAATAAAAACTGATTCAGGTATTTCCTGATTTTTGGAAAAGGTTGGGTGTTTAGTCCCTTCCTTCCTGTTAAACAGATCTCAAAATATGGGGTTAATCCCTGCATTTTCACTGTCACGCTGCAGTACACACGCAGTGTGGTGTGTGCAGGTTTGGGTACCACAACATAAGGAAAATATAAAGTTATTAGAGAGTATCCAAAGGAGGGCTACGAAGATGGTGAAGGGTCTAGAGGACAAGATGTACACGGAGCGCTGAGGCCTCTGTTTTGCTCAGCCCAGAGCAGAGGAGCTGAGGGGAGGACCGATGGTGGCTGCAGCTCCTCACAGGGTGTGGAGGGCAGCGCTGAGCTCTGCTCTGTGACAGCGACAGGGCCTGAGGGAACGGCATGGAGCTGTGTCAGGGGAGGGACAGTTTTTACTGTCTTACACTTCACTCCATGGCATGCACACCTTTCCTGTGCTTGCCTAACACACGACTCTGCTGTGGTGGGCAGTTGCTTCGTGGCAGGAGTTCCAGAAGGGACCTCAGCGTGTGCTGTGGCCTAGAAACCTGTATTTTGCAGTTACAGAATGGGTGTAGACCCCCACAGCCCTCAACCTTTGGCTTTTCCTCCCATAGCAACGGCAGAGGACGTGTTTGTTGGTCATTACAGAATCACAGAATCACAAAATGGCCAGGCTTGGAAGGGACCCTAAGAATTGCCAACCCCCCTGCCACATGCAGGGCCACCAACCTCCCCATTTAATACTAGACCAGGCTGCCCAGGGCCCCATCCAACCTGGCCTTGAACACCTCCAGGGACAGAGCATCCACAACCTCTCTGGGCAGCCTGTTCCAGCACCTCACCACCCTCATAGTAAAGAACTTCCCCCTGACATCCAACCTAAATCTTCCCTCCCTCAACTTAAAAACATTTCCCTTGTCCTGCTTCATACTTCATGAATTCATATATCAAATATGATGCCTGTGCTCCAGGATATGGCTCAGTTACTTTAAGTTACACTGCAATAAGTATTACTAGTACAATGCTCATGTAGAGTTTAGGAAGTTCATTTGGTGTACCATAAGCAAACAAAAAGAAGGCCTGAAAGCCTTTGAATAGGAGAAAAGAGAGTTTGAGTTGAACTGGAAAGCCATCTGTTCACCTGCCAAGTAGCAATTTTGCTCAGATTTGCCTGATTTGATCATAATTTTCATTTCACACTGTGATAGGAATTTCAGGAGGCAACTGGCTCCCTGTGCCTTGTCCTTAAGGGCAGAAGAGCCTGGAAGTGATTCAGAGAGCTTAAACCTTGGTCATGTCATAACCTCTTCACATTAGGTTGTACGTATAAAAAGCAAAGCAAAACCAACCAACCAAAATCCCAAAGCAAAATCCAATCTCATAAAGCATTAGAACTTCAGGAAAAATACCACTAGAGGGAGCTGGCTGTACGTAACTTAATTCGGGTTTATGAACTGCAGAATTAAGCGGGGCGGTAACTGCCTTAGTGCTTCGGTTCCACTGCAGGTATTTATTTGGCCAATGCAGTCCTAATGGACAGCCTCAGCCTGTGCACATATACCTCGGGTGTATCCATGCAAGCTGCCAGATCTGCCCAGAACCAGAGGAAAACACTGAGTGCTAACCTCACAAATGTCACATTGATGTGCTTGTGCTGCTCTCCAATCCAAAGGTGTGTTCGCAGAGCCACCCCCAAGCTGGAGGTGAGCATGTGCTCATCCTGGGGAAGAACTGTCCACATGCAACAGTGGTTCTTTTTTTCTGCAGAACACAATGGCACCCATCGTTTTCTTCATGCTACTCTCATACCACCAAATGTGCCTCTTTTCCTACATTGCTGTAACTCCCTTTGCAAGTAATTCTCTATGAAGGGCACACCAAGTGCCAACTCCACTGCTGCCAAGCTAGAAATGCAGAGAGAGTATGGTCATCTACCCTGGAGCCTGGCAGAGAGGCTGTGAATCTGGTCCAGAAATCCTGTCTGCATCCGAAACTCTTTCAGTCCAGATATCTTCTATTAATTAGTCCTGGGAAGCTTTACAGCCATTCCTAAAATAATGCAAGAAACTATTGAAGACATCCCCAGAACATTTCAACATTAGCAAATCCTTTTGGAAGGAGTTGGACTACTGTTCCCTAAAAGCATAGCAACTGGGATGGGGGCTCACAAAAAACACCTCCTCAAGCCAGCTTGGCACAGCCCAGCTCTATCTGTTCTCAGCCAGCCAGCTCCAAGCCCAGAGCACAGGAACTTATGTGTGTCTGTGTTTATCTACAACCAATGCTGGAGAAGGACCTATGGTACTCCTCCTTGTTACAGCTCACCTTTCTCACCAGGAGCAGCCAGGGACATGTGAGACAAAGCCAAAGGCTGCTGGAAAGTTTACTGGGGATCTTGCTAATTCCTGGATTTGGTGACATTTTGATATTATTTTGAATTTCAGCCATTCGTCAGCATGCACAAATTCTCCAGGTTACGTCAGTTCCAGAAACTTCATATGAAGATAAAATTCTTTCTTCCTCCACCGTGAAGTAGCTGGTTTCTTTCAGTTCCTCTCAACATTATGAGGTGGTAGCTCAGCTCACCTGCTCGGTGGTAGACATTGCAGATGCTAAATCATATCCTACTCTGCATGTGAAGGCTTAGAATCTAGCAAAGGGCAGTCTTCAGGTAAGTGAAATTTCCCTGGTTTTTGTCTTTGAATAATGGTTGTTGTCTTTTGCATAAGTGCCTCCAGATCTCTTCACTGTAGTGCCTATGAGTTCTGTTAAACCTCTGAATTCCCCCTTTCAGTTCTCTTTCTGGATCATCCATTTCTGCTTTTGCATTTACGTCGATCTAACTTCTTTCCTGCCACCAGCCCCATTCCATAGCTGGGTAGTCGCACTGAATGCACATCCAGCTAAACACACTGCCTCCATTAAAGTCTTAGCACAGATAAAGCAGTTTGTGTTTTTTACTATAATTAGTACAGTAAGTAAGGAAAACATTGCAAAGTTACTTTCGTGCACAGATACACAGAGGCCGGAGCACTGAGCAGGAGGTGAAAAGCACTCCTTATACTGAGGCAGTTTCAATTCCCTGTGATCATATCCCAGCAGAGTGCACCGGTCAGTCAGCAGGAGTAATGTGATGAGGGATGGAAAGCAGAGGAAGTGATGGGAAAGGATAGGAGGCTGCTTTTCTTCCTGTGTAATGGTGCTACCTACCTGTCATCAGACATCCAGGACTGACGGGGCCAGAGAAGTCTGCAGAAGTTGCCTTTGTGGCCCAGTGCTGATGACATTGTCATAGGAGAATGGGCCCTGCCCTTGATGCTGCTGATACATTTTATACAACAATTATTCTGGGACAAGTTCTGTTGTCTAATCACTGGAGCAGAGATGGTGGTCCATCCATGGGACTGTATGTGTACAAAGAATGTCATCAGTTTCTCATCTCTCCCTTAGCTTTTTTCTTCTCTTTGGACTGTCTCTGGGTCATAGCTGCCTTTATAATGGATTTTGATCATTTAATTAAAGATGCAAAAAATCTCTTACATGTCATAGTTCAGTAGCTGTACTGATTGATAATAAAATCAGATGATTAGGTTTTTTTCTTTCCTAAAATGGCAAATGAGTTTCAATGTCTTTGTATATTTTAACGCTTTCACTGATACAAGGTGGGAAACAATACAAAGCACTGACTATGCTGTACTACAAGCATGAAATCTGAAGAAGAAGGAGCTCTGAGCCCAGATCCATTGTAGGCTGCCTTCCCCATTCAGTCATTCTGATGAAGGTTCTGTTTATTTTTATTAGTAGTATCATTATGTTGAGAAAAGCATCAGACATCTCATCTTTGGGGACTGAAATTCATTAAAAAAATTAAGAGTTTTTGCTATAGTAGAAGAAGTGCTTATAAATAAAGAAATATTTACAAGACCTTCCATGACTTGCAAAAATATTGCAGATTGGACAAATAATTGAAGGATGTAATATGTAGCTCAGGAATAAAGTTATCCATTCTTAAAGCACTGACAAGAACAGTGATGTAAAACGGCTTATTGCTAGCCATGGGGAAGAATCTGATACCTTGTCAGGTGTCACTGGGAGAAACACAGGGTCAAATCTAACTTCACTGACTTTACATAGAGCTGAGTCTGCATTTCATTTCAGTACAGCTCAATACAATTCACTGATATGAAGCAGACCATTCAGAACTGAAAGAACTTCAAGAAAGATGGAGTCACAGCAAGTGATCCCGTCACACCAGCAAGCTGTCCACCTGAATGACACAACACAAGATCTCATATTTCTGAACTATTTTATCCCATTCACAGTTTCTCTGCAATCCAGATACCTTTTCACAAAGTACTGTCATCAAGCTTCAGGCTGAGACACAAAGTTTCTATGGCACGATGGTGAGCAGGCATAGAAGTAAAAAGGAAGCCTTCCAAATTTAAATACATTTCTGTACATTTGGATGAGCTGAAGTCCTTTGCCATATCGAGGTCCACTGCAGCAGTCACAGACACTGAAACTAAAATGGTAAGAAATTGGATCAAAAACTTTGCATCGTCCTCCTAAGGTTATATACCCACCCCAGCTGTTCAACTTCCTCACTCAAAAGCACAAATTAAAGAAATTATTTGGCCTCAGAATGGCTGTGGTTCATCACTGAAGAAGATGCTTAAACTTCCTCAGTTCCAGTTTAGCAGAGGCCCGCTCTGTTCCAAAAAAGTAATTACTCTAGCCTTAATGCACAGTCTGTATGGCTCCTATGGGGAAGGAGGAGGCAGACACATCAAAAATAGAAGGATGTGCTGTGCAGTTGGGGTGGAGTGGAGACGCAGAGAAGAAAATAATTCTGAAATTCCCAGAAATGGAGCTGACATCATTTTCAGCTCAGCTGTAAGCTTCAGGTCAATCTCCCTTCCCAACAGACTGGCTCGACGTAGAGCCAGAACATGAAGCTGCAACACAAGTTTTGTCTGGAGGACAGGTGTCTGTGTAAAATCCTAGGAACATTAAACAGAACAATGTATTTCCATGCAGCATCCGACAAATCTTAATTGTATTTTCACATTCATTCAGATATACTCAAAATGTGAACTGAGCATATCTACATGAAACTATAGCTATTACTATACTTTTTATGCTTACATACTGCAGTATGTAATAGCATATCACTGATCAACACTAATTTCATGTGAAGGAATGGACAAAGTATGGATTTCCACACTCCTAACACTTGCAGAATTTCTGATTAGGGGCCAGTTAACTATTTTTTGCACACAGTACTCCTTTGGTGGGCAAGGGAACAAGATGCAATTCTGTATTACTTACTCATCCAAAATCTTTTGAATATCTTCTGTGATGTTGTTGTATCTTTCCTTTAGATTATTTCTGGAGAAGCAGAGAGCAGCCAGATGAATCAGCTTCTGAGGTTGGTTCTGAATCTTTTCATTCCATAACAAAGGGTGTATGAAATTATTTTCTATTCTGAGGAATTTTAGTGGAAGATTCAAAACCCCAGATGGCAAAGCAGAGAGCTGGTTCCCTTCAGTGTTCAGATACTCAAGCTTTCTGTAATTTTAAGGACCACCAGGAATTTACAGGTTGTTCACAGCATATCCTAATGTGACAATGGTTTATATAACTGCCTAACTCTCATTAGATTAACTACTAAGCTACTTATGCATAAAATGCTACGTGTTTCTATGTACTAGATAAAATTGTACATATATTATTTTTCTAAATATAATTTAAATATCTGAGTTATCTTGAAAGACAAGGCTGGGTATATCTGAATGCATTAGGCATGCACAGATATCATCAACATTAAGGACATGCATGAATAATTTGCTTTTCTACAGTTTCTACTGGATGGGTGAGCTTGGTTTTAATTCCTGTTTAATCAACACTTGAAACATCACTGCTTGAAAGCAACCACACCTGGGCTGGAAGTGTATCTTCTCTTTCCTTATCATAAAAAATCAAGTGTATGTGCATGTATGTAATCCAAATGAGAGAACAAGCATGTTTTGCATGTGAATATTTGACCTACAGCTACCATCAAGTGACACAGTTACACAACTGTCATTTACTGTTTCAGTTTAAATGAGCTTTTCACATAGGATAGGAGAAGGGAGAGAGAGGTTATACTGAATGCTCCTCACATGTTCACTTATACAAGTAACATCCAAATATAGTCCATATATTCTGCTGTAGAAATCTAATTTCAGTTTATGTTGCTTATATACCTGAGGTTCTTGATGTCATTAGCAATATAGCTAATATAATTATAGGCAATGTCCAGGTACCAGAGATCTTCTAATAGAAACAAGCTATAAAGAAAGAAAACAGAACTAAGAATTAGAAACCTAAATAGAGAAATGCAAAAATCAGAAGAATAAATGCTGAATGGGACCTTTGGAGTTCATCCAGTCCTGCCCTGAAGCACAAACCATTCCTTACTGCTTCACAGTGTGTAGGCCTCTATTTTTCATGTCTGCTAATGATGTTTTAGCCACTTTTGGGTATCCAAAACTATGGTTCAGCTCTTAAATGAGCTGAAATGACCTGTAGAGGTATTCTTTCCATTCGCTGTGGATGTTGAGATGGATGCCTTGATTAAATGCCTAAAGCCAAGGGGGTTGAAGCTGGGTCTTAGCATTCCAAAATAGTCTAGAAGTGGAATTTTACTTCCATACCACAGCATCTCAACAGAACAGTCATATTTTAATGTACTGACTACGTTTTAAAATTCACCGATTTTTACTGGAACACAAAGGCAGACAGTAGAGCCAAGAATGGAAGTCATAAGATCATTCTTCCCCAAAATATTTTCAGCTAAAATGTCTGTTTACTGAAAATGAGCTACAGCAAACTAGTATACCTGTATATTCTTAGTGAAGATTCAATAAGGCAAACAATTACAATTAACTATTCCAATACTTCTATTTTCTGTCATCTTGATAAAGTCTTTCTGTTTGGCTTAGTGATATGACTAAAATGAAAATCAGTGAAAGATTATAACGTAGTTCAAGACAGAAATCCTTGTTTGTGCTTATAAATACCACAAACATCTCCATGAAAACTAAAAAAATAATAACTTACCCAGATGGAAGTTCTGATAGCAAATTAAAGGAAATTGTAAATTTCTTCAGTGACTTCAATCTGTGAATGTCATTGGGGATTTTTCTGATGGGGTTGCTCCGGAGCACAAGGACTTGTAAGGATTTAATATTAAACACCTGAGAAGGGAAGAGGACAGGGAATGATAAAACCAACATCTGTTCATCATAGAGCATGTCACTGTTCTGTTGTAAGCTTTCTGCATTTCTAGTAACAGTAAACTACACTGGGAGAATGGGGAAATAAATATAATAAGGCTATAAGACTTGTTAGTACGATTACTGTATATATAGATTAATAAGGGAAAATGGTTTTAAGTTGAGGAAGGAAAGATTTAGGTAGGATGTCAGGGGGAAATTCTTTACAGAGAGAGTGGTGAGGTGCTGGAACAGGCTGCCCAGAGAGGTTGTGGATGCTCCATTCCTGGAGGTGTTCAGGGCCAGATTGGATGGGGCCCTGGGCAGCCTGGTCTGGTATTAAATGTGGAGGTTGATGGCCCTGCCTGTGGCAGGGGGATTGGAGATTCATGATCCTTGAGGTCCCTTCCAAGCCTGGCCATTCTGTGATTCTGTGATAGTATTACTGCAGATATCACATGAGACACAATTGCCAATCACTTACTGTATTGATTACAACAGAATTGCAAGCAGAGTCGCAAGTGCTGCTGGTTTTTAAGACTGTCAGCATTTCTGATGATATGCCTTGTTTTTCTTTCAGGTCTTGCATTTTTTGAGGTGAAAATTTCAATTTCTATTATGTCTGCTTCAAAAATGCTTCTGCTAAAAACATATGAATGGAAATGGGGAAAAAATCTATTTTGTTTGGTTGGCATTTAAAAAGTAACAACCTGATGAATATTCTCCAACTGGATGAATTTTTTTCTCTGAAAGAGTGGTCAGGTACTGGAATGGGCTGCCCAGGCAGGTGATGTAGTAACTGTCCCTGAAAGTGTTCAAGAAACATTTATATGTTGTGCTGAGAGACACGGTTGAGTGGGCAATAGTGGTGGTAGGGGAAAGGTTGGACTAGATGTTCTTGGAGATTTTTCCAACCTTGGTGATTCTATGATTCTACGATTCCCAGTTCTGAAAGGGCTACTGCAGTGTTTTTCAAATCATGGATCAAAATCACAAAAAAAGAGTTGTGAAAGTTTTCAAAAGGGACTGTTAACTACTCGGAGCACTATTATTTCAGTTATTCATCTCTCTTCTTAAGCTCTCGTGTGCCTGGCTGCATACAGATGGTGAGTCAGAAAGGCAAGGTGGATCACATTTTGGAAAAGTTTGAAAAATACTGTTTTACCTCCTGTAGCTCAGGGGCCCTGTGCTGTTGAGGATGACATGAGAAGGTCTAAACTAGCACTACTCTGACTGGGAGTCTGGACTGGAGAACCTCCAGAACCATCCCAGTCTGTATCTGTAATGTTAAGTTAGCCAAGCACAGCCTTTGTCAAGGCAAACACAGCTTGAATGGAGGAGACCATGTCACTCCATAGCTACCAGTGCCTCAGGTACAATAACAGTGTGCATGCTACCCTATGCAGTGCTTGGAAAAACAAGAAGCAGGGAAATTGGGGGTTGGACTTAATGGTCTCTAGAGGTCCCTTCCAGTCCCTACAATTCTGTGATTCTGTGAAATGTCCACAGTCTTCCAAAATGCAAACATCTGACTGCATGGTCAGAAATGGATCAAATTGCAAGTGCCTGGAAAAATAATACAGTCTGTATGTGTTCACTTTTCTAAACTTTAATAGCTACTTACTCCTAGTGATTTGGTCCACACCAAGCATGCTCTAATTTGGGTATTCACAGTAAATGCAGATTTTCAGCAGCCTTAGACCCTGTCTGAATGTCTTAAGTGTGTTGGGAAGACTGGAGGCATTTGGGACTATTGCTACAGCTGCTGGAGCAAGAAAATAGATAAGGGACAGGAGAACCTGTGGGAGCAGATGGAAGCCTGGGAGAACAGTTGCAAAGACTTCCGTGATTGTTCCCATAATTCTTACTGAACCCCAAGTAACCAAAGCATATTTTAACACTGTTAACTATTATTTTTTCCATTTGTTTTGAACAGCCGTGCTATGACACTTGCATTTAAACCACAACTTGTTGAAAGTTAATTTTTATATCCAAACAGTAGAATTTCAGACTTAGATCACTTTTAGTGAAATCATGGAAAACAAGCAGTGCATACCTCCATAGGAAAGAAGAGTAAATTATTGAATGACAAGTTAAGGCAGACCAAAGTATCCATCAATGGGGTCAGGTTTGGAAGGTGAAACAAAAAATAGGCCTAAAAGAAATGTAAAAAAATTGGACAGCTGAATAAGGAAATCTCTCAGCATTTTCACTTAAATACAGTAACATCCTTAAGTACAGTTCCCTAGGACTCATAGATGTGTTGTGAATGTTAGAAATACCACAATTTGATTCTCCTTTGGATGGAGTCAGCTTAAGCAGCATCACTGATATGCCTGAAGACAATGTCAGCAAACCCAAAGCCCAGCCTGCCTTGCCTCTTGCCACAGAGTCCTCCACTGTCATTCCCGCTCATTTCCATCATGTCCAAATAACCTGTTTCCTTTTTTCAAGCGTGGACACAGTCCAGAATGCAACTTTTTATTCAATTTATCAAAATATCAAAAGCAATCCCTTGCCATGGGTCATGTGGTACTGAGTGGCACATGCCCTGCCCAGCTGGCCTGCTTGAGAACAGTCTGCATTACACAGCATAGCTTTTGGCTATGGAACTCCCTTCTGCTTTTGTGTATAATTATTATTCAGCAAGGTTTGTTTTCATTTTCAGACTGCAGCCTGAAATAGCATGAGGGCACTTCCTGAAATCTGCCATACTGATGTTCTTGTAGAGTGTACAACAGTATAAAGAAAGAAAAGCCCTAAAGCATTCAACGAATAGGGAAAAGAAAGATAAATCAGGTGCTACTCTCAGATCTGCAGTAAAGTTTTGTTGTGGAGGGACTTGTTTGTGCACACTAAGAAAAACTGCAGTACGATGAATACTTTTGCAGTGTAGATAGATCAGAGAACCAATGTGCAATAGAGCACAGAGAGAGTACTGTGATACTGATACACAATACCTACACCTGTAATTGCTAAGAGCACCAAGGTCCTCTCTTATTAGTGACCTCATTCTGGCTGCTTTCCTAATTGTGCCATGAAAAAAGTGGCCGAGTTCTGTAGCTGCTTGAAGCTCTGTGATTTTTGGCTTACTTTTTCTTTTCTCACCTACTTTCTAATGTTGTTCAAACTGTGTTAGACTTCCCTTCGTGACCTTCCTAAAGTATACCTGATTTATAAGCTCAACCCATCTAGGCTACTTCTGGAATATACTCACCCTCTCAAGTGGGTCCAAAACTCCCAAAACATGTAATCCAAACATCTTCAGATTCAGACAATGAAGCACTTTTTCATTTTATTGCTCCTTTATTGAACTCTTACTTTCAGTTCTAACATGGGAAGTTTTATACTAAGCTCTGCTGGGAAAGTGCTGCTTCTGCATTATGATGACCCCTCTGGAATGTATGTGGATATTGTTATATATCCAATCTCAACTACATAAATGCTGAGATAATATTTAATTAATGTCACATACAATTTCAAATATGCCTTAAGAGATAAATGAATCTAGCCTCTTGTTCCTTGTAGGCCAGAATTACTTATCATTTTCGTGGCAGATAGATACACAATGTACATAACATACACTACCTACTAAACTGCTGGTCATATCAAATCTGGATCTAAGAGTTATAATACAATGCAATACAACCTAAGAGTTAGAATAAATAGATATATGAATGTAAATCACGAATAATGCTATAATGAAATGAGATTTACATACTGCATTTGAGTTCAGAATTTTCTTGGATTCTTTCAACTTGTTTTGCAAGAAAAACTGTACCTCATTTGAGGATTTCCCGTGGTGATACTGCAAGACTTCAGGTAGATTCTTTACATTTCTTTAAGATTAAAATCCAAACTGGAAATTCTTCTAGATGTTAAAAAATATCTGCAAATTTTCATTCTAAAGAGGAAAAATATTTGCAGCCAAAATGAACATCCAGTGCAATGTTCTCTCCACTGTTTGTGAAATCTTCAAGAGATGTAGGATGAGCAAGATAGACTTAAATACTAGAAGGATTTTGTCATGGATTTAAATGTGTTATGCCGATGATTGTTTCAAATTGGGTTATTTATGAACAGATAAGAGTTCTCAAGTATCAGTTCTTCATACGAAACAAAGTTCAGTTCTTCAACAAACAGCTGCAACAATTCTTTCTGATTTTAAACAACTATCTTTGAGCATGAAGAGGAAAAACAGGCACTTTGCCTTCTAAGCAACATGCCCAAGAAGGAATATCTTCGCATTTACTAAGCTGTGTGAAGTGGTTCTGCTTCACATGCAAGCCCTTCCCTTTTTCAGTTCATAGTATTTCTGTTTCTAAATGTTTGAGTGGTTTCTGAAACAGCAGTAAACCCCAGAAATTTGTCCTGTTTCAGCTTAAAGCAGATGATGGCATTGGGATTCCCAGCTGGACCTAGGCAGAAGGGCTGGCATTCAGTGACACTGGAAAAGGGATACATCTCTGGACTTCTCTGTCTTTTCCAGAGTGCCCTGGAATCAGTTACTGGGCTCGATGCACTAAGGGAGTTTGGCTCCTTAATCCCATTCTGCATTTAGACAGATCTCTTTCTTTAACTTCCCCAAAGACAAGATAGTGGGCTGGATGCTTTGGTCCCTGTCGGTTGATGGGATCATAAAAGTCTAAAAGGCAGGCACATTTCTCTAACAACAAAAAAACTGTGGTTAGATATCACTTAGTTAAAGGATTGCTTTTGCTGGAGCTTCTAAATACATCTTTAATCACAAAGGCAATACTTACTGTAGAGATGCATGAAAACATGCTTTCATATCTAATACCTTTCTCAGACACTGAAAAATATTTCCTGTTCACAAAAGAAAGCAATATTGATAACACTTAGGATTGTTTCATATTCAGCAAATTGCAACTTCTTGGTGACTCAGAAAAATAAATTTTTTACCTAATCTTTTAATGAATCAACACTTCTGATTTAATACTTCAAAGGAAGGGTGCCTTAGACAAATAAGACTCTGCTTTGTAAAACAGAGATAAAGATATCTATCTGAAAGAAAACTGTTAGTGTTGACAACTTTTATATATTAATTGCACTGAAGGATTTTGGATTGATTTTTAATGGCAGCCAAGAAAGCTTACTCTGAACTGAGTTTAGCATGACTCAAGGTACTGACCACACAATTCCTTTATGCAGATATCTTTACTGACTTCACCCAGACTTCTGGAGTTTCTAGACACAGTGACAATTTTAAGGAACACAACCCCAACCTCCATAAAGTATCACATCTGACTGTTGTCCCATAGATAAAAAAGTACAGTGTGACAAATCTCCACATTCCCATTACTGGAGGACTCAGCAAAGCTGCATGAAGTTATACAGTCTATTCTCAGATAGAAGTGAGGAGACTCTAGGAATAACCGACCAGCTTGCTCCAGAAAAGGAAGTAGCACAGCCATAGCAATGCAGTGTTACTTGGCTAACCTGCAGATCCATCATGTCTCCCTGCTTGTAGCCACATCTTTTGGTGTGAAAATGTCAGCTCACTCAAGGCAAGCCTGGACTTCTCTGCAACATGCATCAGAAGAACAGGCCTCCCTAAGGCAGGGACACTGCAGTGGCATATGAGCACTCTTAAGTAATGTAGAATAATTTATGCAGCTACTCCTGAAGAAGTACAGATGCAGCACAGCAAGACAGATTTCACCAGTGATGACTGTGTAGAAAGAATCTTTTTAGTGTGTGGTGAAGCCCAGTGAGATGCCTCAAAATATCTGTGAAAAGACAGCAATATCAGCAAATAATTCTCTTAGTAACTAGGTAAAATGTGCATAAGTTGAATAAAAGAAGTAGGGATCACTCAAGGATGTCAGCTCTTAGCTGGTAAAGTGTGGAGTAGCTCCATTGATTTGGATGCTTTGGAGGTTATTTATATATCAGAAGAGTTAAATTTTTGTACACTTCTCAGCAAAGAGAAAAAAAAGTTCTATAAATATCTTTTTCTATAACCACTTAAAGGTATTGCTGGCAAGAAGGTGCAAAATCAATAATTGCTTTTTATAGTACTAAAAAAGAGAACTCACAGCAGCTTTAGCTCATGACGATTCTGGTATTTCCATCTCTGTTATTGCCAGTTTAAATTTTGGTGAAATTTGCAGAAATGGATAATAAAGTAACACAATCTGCTCAATTTGATAATGACACTTCTTATGTGTATGGCAGCAGAACTTCAAAATGAATAGGTATCAGACAACATTTTTACCGTATTGCTACTGGCAAACAACACGGGGCACTTGTTATCATTTCTTCCAAATAGCCTCATCACAGCATAGCAGTTTCAGATACTGATCAAATTCACTGGGAATACTGACAACTCAATAGGTTTCCTAGATGATAGAATGTGAAACAATAGTACCAGTTCTTTCAAGATCACAGTAAAAGGAATTAAATACTTACAGTTAATTTACTCATATTTGCTTAAGACTGATGTGCATTTAAAACATTAGGAAGTATTATGTTAGAATTGTTCCCCCTGATCAGTTTTTCCCCATCTTTTGACTAGGTGTATTTATTCTGAGAATTAAAGTCCATACGTGAAACACTATCTACCTCCAAGAAGGATTTTGCTTATCCAGATACCAACTTCTACTCCAATGAGTGCCTGCTGCAGACGGTGGGTTGAAGCCTACAAACTATTTAAATAAAAGTGGCTTAGAAACATGAATTCTGGCTGAGAATCCCAAGTATGAATTTGATTGAAGCTTTATCTGACCAGAGTGGCTGGTTCACATCCATTAATGGACAACGTTTATATCAGCAGGCAACCTCATGGAAACCCTGAAATATGAAATCTCTGCTGGTCTCTTACCAAAAGCAGGAGGAATATTCTCTCATTTTCCACATCTGATGACTCCTTTTCGTGGTACTGGCATAATTTGGGTTGAATGGCAAACACTTTGGCAGAAGGTATAATGCAGAACAAGTGCCATGAAAATTATGTGGAATGCATCAGAAAGAAAATAAGACAGTAAAAGTACAGGGCGAAAGTACAAGAAAGAACAAATAAACAATGAAGAATTTAGGCAAGGGTACTATAGAAGAAAAGCATGTAAAAGAGCTATACCTACAGCTACTCTAATTTTATCAAAACCATTTTAATCATTCTAGTCACTTCTTTTTTTCATGCTGTTGTCCAGGACCAATTTTAAGATTGTTTTTTTTCTGTGGATGATGTTGCAAAGCCTGAAATGAAAACTTACTATTACATGCTTGGATGCTTGGAATGAAAACTGACTATTAAATATAGCAACGTGTGTACTGCATCTTTAACAGCTATACCTGAAGGCTGAGAGCAGTCTTCCTGTTCAAGAAGCAATGCCATACTTTTACTTGGGACCTGAACATCAGTTTTTTCTCTTCATCTTTCTTGCTTGCCATAAAATGGAATCTGGTTTCCCAGTCACACTCCACACTACTGCTGTCAGGGACATCATTAGCATCTATGATATGAAAAAGTGTGTCAAGCATTACAAAATTTCTTAGGGGAATGCAAACACAACATAGTAAAGACTGAATGAGAGGTGTTCTGCAGACTTCCTGAATCTAATAATTTATATCCTCTGTTGCCAAACACAGACAAGACTCTCACATAGTAATAAATTTGACTCATGAATGCCTGCAAAGAAATATAAAGATTGCAGGTCGTTTACTCTTCCTTTCTTTTTCTTTTGATAGGAGGAGAATAGGTCTTCATGTACAACAAACAAACAACCAAACAAACAAAAAGTAGAATTGGATTATGACCTGCAGTAATGACAGTATTTTGCCTTCCTCCATAGATACTATTTGCTGAGATAGAGACTACAGGGTTGCCATTGTGTTGGATTGTTTTTGAATCCTTTCTCCTGAGTGCTTTAGGCCTTGTGCCTTCAACCTCACTGTCACTTCAAAGCCAGGTCAATATTATAGATTATTTCTTTACTCTATAATTCCACTATTTTGCTACTTCAACAATATGTAGTGGCTGTAGTCCCCATAGGCTGATGTTGTCATGACATATTTCTGAGAATGATCTATCACAGTGCCATTTTATGACTATTGCACATAAACCTTGTTCGTACCTGAAAAGGGTCCTTCTTCTCTATCAGGTTCAGTTAACTTTACATAATGTATAATATATGCTTTTTCTTTCTTTTGTTCTTGCAAAACTTTTTCTGGTATATCAGATTTTCTTGTTTTCTCTTGCAAGGCCATTTCTAAAGAGAAGTGCAAAGTAATAGCAGACACGTTGCATACACAAAAAATAGATACTTTAATACATATGGCTCAGATTCTGATTGCACAGAAGCCCTATATATTATTTAAATGCAGTAAGAAAGACCTTAGATATATAAGAGATAAATTTTAAAGCTTCAGTAGGCACAAGAAACACACAGAATCATAAAATAATTCTTGTTGGAAAGGATCTCCAAGATCCATCAGATCCAGCTCCCTGTTCAAAGCAGGACTAGATCAGTTTGCTTAGGGCCTTTTCCTGCTGATTATCTCCAAGGATGTAAATCCACAACTTCTCCCAGCAACCTGTGCCAGTGTTTGACCAACACAGCATAGGGTTCCTTATATCTAATGAGAATTTTCCATTTCCCAGCTGGTGTCACTTGCCTCTTCTGCTGTCACTGCAAACTTCTGAGAAGAGTTTGACTAGCTGAAGACAGAAGTAGGATCTCTCTTTAAGCATCTCCTCTTCAGACTGTACAACCTCAACTTTCAGTCTCTTGGATGCCGACTGCTTCAACTTCCTGACCATTTTTGTTAGCCTCTGCTGGAGTGTATCAATATCTGTCCTATGGTGGGGAATCTCAGGTGTGAGTTTACAAGTGTTAAATATGAAGTTATAATCACTTCCCTTGAACTCCTGGCTATGCTTTTTAAAATACTGCCAGTATGTGAGCGGCTTTATTTGCCACAAGGACATGATGCTGGATCACATTCAGCTTGTCATCCACCAGGTCTTCTGGTCCTTTTGTGCAAAATATTTTCCAGCCAGCTGGGCCCAGCCTGCATGAAAAGTAATTATGTCCTAGAAAATCTGAGCCTAAGATTGATCATAAAAAGGTTGATCATAAAAAGGGTTGTGCTGACACTGTTACAAAATACTTTCACAGAAAAGCATTCTCAGCACTAAAATCTGACATCAGATAGTAATTCGCCCAACCAGTACCAGGAGGTGAACAAATATATAGCTTAACAGCTGCACATACTCAATTTAATGGTTCTCTCAATTAATCTCAAGTAACGCCTTTCTCTAAGCCACATTCACCATATCTGTATCTGTGGTGCAGCAACCAGAACTTATAGCCAACCTCATTGCTGGCTATAGTGAACAGCTTTGAGTTTCTGTGCTTAAAATAGTGTCACCATGGTCTGCTCTTTTTCATGCAGCTGACCATGGGTGTATAACATAAAGTGTCAGTCAGCAAACGTGACTGCAAAACTGTACTTTATTGTAAGTGGTCAAAAAGGAGATATCTATTTTGTGTTTCGTTCATTCCATTCATCTTAGATGTCTACCTTGGGTTAGTATGTGCCTTCTGGAAGTTTCTGTCCCTCTCTTTATGGGTTAAGGAAGAAGCATGCATTACTAATTACATTAAATGATCAACTTGAGGGATTTCACATTGGGTGGTATGAACTGCCTCCCTGAGGTTTCAGTTTCAGCGTGCAGTCACTTACCACTTAAGGTAGCATGGTTTGCCAGCTTCACAGATCTCTTCAGAAATGGTTTTGAGATAATACTCAAAGTTAGGAAGAAGGGATGCATCTGCCTGAGAAAGAGAGGGAGAAGGGGACACTACAGTACCAGCTGTTTCCTGGTTGGATGACCTTGAAAGGGACTGGAGAGGCGGAGACAAGGCCTCAGAAAATGCTCTGGATTTATTATACTTTCCTTCTTTACAGGGCTGCTTTCAGAACCACATCAGAGTACTGCTCCAACAAAGTACCTTTCCAATAGGATGAAATGCCCACATGTTATTCACCTCCTCAAAACAACTTTTCTAGTCCCAAGTGATACAGCACTTATATTCCCACCCATGCAGAGTTTGGATAAGCAGTGTGGTCCAACTAGAGCCTGCAGAAAAGCCCATGGCAACCATACAGTTCTGCTTCTAGCCTTCCACATGTTTGGGTACATGGAATACAACTAGGAACACAAACTCTATAGCCAGGTGTCTGCCCCTGCATTTCATCAGAAGAATCTGAGTGCCACCTTTCTCTTACAAAATGCATCACATTTCTCACACTCTGAACACAGTGAACAGAGTTCCTGCCAGTGGAATGGCTTCCCTCTTGAAGTTGTGCCTGTGCAACAGAACCACACATCAGTAACCAGAATCACATCCCCTGTGCCAAAGCACACACAGTCCCTAAGTGTGACCATTATTTGAGACTGTGCATTTCCACCTTTCATATTACCATACACTGACAAACCATTTCCACTGTGCTAATGATTTATAGCGATAGTACAGAAATAACTCTATACCTCTTCTAGACTAACACAGTGGAAGGATGAGGCAAACACTTCTTCCCATGAGTCACATTTACTCACTTGTCAGTAGTGGAAAACTGATACCAAGGAATACATTTGAGACTTTGCTTTCTGAGAGAAAAAAAGACTGAATTCATGTGAAGTAATTACAAAATGTCAGCTTCTGGGAGCACCTCTAAATCCTGTTGTTAAACCCAGCTTCACCTTAACAAATCCCAGGATGGAACCCATGGAAGGCTTTTCTCTACTGTAGCTGTGGAACGAAACTTAGTTGCAGAAGCACTGAGAAAGCTAAAAGTAGTTCTCTAGGGAATTCACCGCTCTTCCTCCAGCTCCTGCACAGTCTGTAGTGCAGAGGTTTCAAGCTACTATGTAACTGGAAGCAACATCAGATTACAGAATTCCCCATTGCTTCTTCCTTCCACTTCTTCCCTTCTTCTGACTTGTATCAGCTCAACCATTTGTGCAATATGACTAATACAGGACACAGTAGGACACTGGTCAGTCCTGAATAAAATCCTGCAAAAAGAAATATATCTTTGTTTTAAGCTGGAGCATGTCCAGAGAAGGGCAATGAAACTGTGAAGGGTCTGGAGCACAAGTCTTATGAAGAGAAGCTGAGGGAATTGAGATGGTTGAGTCTGGAGAAGAGGAGGCTCAGGGGAGATGGTGAGGTGGAGGTTGGCCTCTTCTCCCACATAATAGTGATAGGACTAGATGGAATGGCCTTAAGTTGCACCAGGGGAGGTTCAGGTTGGATATTAGGAAATGTTTCTTTTACAAAGGAGTCATCAAGCACTGGCACAGGCTGCCCAGGGAGGTGGTGGAGTCACTGTCCCTGGAGGTGTTCAAGAAACATGGAGACGTGGTACTGAGGGACATGATTAGTGGGTGTAGTGGTGATGAGCTGACAGCTGGACTAGATGATCTTAGATGTCTTTTCCAATCTTAATGATTCTGTGATACTGTGATTCTAAGTCTGTTCTTCATTTTGCATTCAATAAGGTACAGGAAGACAAGGCCAAAGACCCATGAAAGGATCAGAACTGCCTTCCTAAACCCTGGTGATGAACAGATCCACCATTTTCAAAGACTTAAATGACAAGACTTTTCACAGTTCCCATACACCATCTGTTATAATAAAGTTGCATACATTTAAATCACCGTGTGCTGCTATCTGAAGACACAACATTTCATTTAGTTATCACAAGCTATAATTCTGCACTAGTTGTTTCTCAAATAATGAGGGCAAATTCAAAGACCCACATAAGCAAAAACAAAGTTGTTTTGTTTTGTTTTTTTTCTCCTGCAAGACATTGCAAATAGATACTACAGTGTTTAATATTAATTACCTAGGAACTTCTGCTGCTCAGGCTTTCTTGTTTCATCTGCAGGTAAAGCAATGTCAGACAAAATCACTGTGTTAACTTCAGTCTGTGAACTCCTGTTTTCAGTCATTAATTTATTACTGAGGACTTCATAGTTGTAGCGGGAAACAAACGGCTTTTTGAGTGTTGTCTTCAAAGGCAGATGGTGAGAAGAACCTGCAGCTAAACTTTCCAGCGTAAACACAGGAGGAGTGCAATGGGCAGGGCCAGTGCTCTGTAATTTTTGACCCTTCACATGAGAGAATTTATGATTTTCGCAAAATGAGAAGCAATCAGGCCCACTGGGACTTTTAGTAAGAATAAAATCTCTCCTAGGAATTTGGGCAAAAACCACATTTTTCACTTTGCTTTGGTTTGGCATTGGTCTGCTTGACCAGATAGGAATAGATTCATACTGACCAACCAGGCTTGCAGTATTGCCCCCTAAAGACCAATGTGCAGAGTTACTGTTCTTAAAAACTACATCACCCTTCTGATTCATGTCTCCTGTGAGGAAACTTGTTTCAGAGGGAATTAAACCTCCCCTTTCGCCATGAAAACCTGTGATTTTGGACTGGATCTGTGCTTGCCCGTATTTACTGTGTTGATTAAGCTGACGTACATGTTGGTGTTGGAAATGTATTAGACAAGAGGAAATATGGCCAGACTGGGGTTGGATACCACCAGACAGGTATTGAGACTGAAGGAGATCTTTCAGTTGGATTTGTCTTTGATTTTGGCACATCTGATGAACAGACAGGAATGTATCTTTGGGCTGGGTTTTCACCGGATTCTGGGAAATGTGACCATGGCTGAAGGAAACATCTGTCTGCTTGACTTGCCCTTGAGTACTGGCATAACTGTCAGACACAGCTTTTCCATTTTTATCATTTGTACTCTTCGTCACTGTAGCTCGGTATTGTCCAAAACCCCTGCCTGCTGAAAACAAGAGAAAAGAAAGACATTGAGAATGAGGCTTAGAAATTCTATTCACTCAGCTTAAGCATCTCAGTTTAATGACTAGCATGTGTGGTGTGATGGTGCTGAGCCCTAGTGTCCCACACCACTGAGGTGGAGATTCATTTCATACTCCTCACATAATAGCCACCTTGCTACTAGGGCTCATTCTGAAGGTCTATTGGCTCCTTAGCTAGACTCCAGCTTCCAAACAGTACTGCATACTGCATACAGAAGTAATTAGCCCTGAACACTTTTATCAACAAAAAAATTCCTATACAATTACTCTTCATTCAGCCTGTGTAGTTCCACAAGCTTGCTGCTTTGCTCCCTTTGCTAGGGAAACTCATTTTCTGGGAACTGCATAAGGAGAAGCCTCTCTCTCTAGCTCTCTGTTGCAGCTCAGCTCCCAAAGAAAGCTGGGACCATTGGGTTATCTCCCTGGATTTCTTGCCCTCCAGTACTGCAGCTGACAACTTCAAGCTCTCTACCAGGTACAGTCCACCATCACATCCCCTTGAAATTTCTTCTGCATTTTTACTTAACTGCTTTATCGTATTACATCCTCACTTTCTACAGTTCCCTGCAGAGGAAGACACCTATGACATACCACTAAAAGGCTCATCTTTTTTTTTTCCTAGGCCCCAGGTCTGAGTCTCACACTTCATGAAGCACAAAACAATTCTGTCCCCAAAAATGACTGAAACACCATTGCTGAGGAGTTGCTTTTTGATCAATGGCCATGCTGCTGTTTAAATATCTGTCAGGTGCAACGGTTACATTTGGAGAAATGATCCTTGAACAAACTTTATTGTGCGGATCTTGGATTCTTGTCAGTTGTACTACATAAATACATAATCTATAAATAGCAACCATCACTAATCATATGCTCTACTACAAGAAGAGCCATCACAATAAAACTCTGAGGATAAAAGGTTTATCTATCACTTTTTAAATGTTTTAAATCATTGGAGCATAGCTCTGGTACTGAGCCAGAAATACTTACATCTGTTTTGACAGTGCCAGGCTGGAAATATATTGTACAGATTTTACCAGCCTTTCAAAATAGTCTTCAGTAGGGCCTAATAATATCAAGGGCCTAATAATATCAAGGGCCTAATAATTACTTTTTTCTAAAACTGAATTCTCCTTAATATTTTTAATACTTTTATAAAGATATTACACAATATGTTATCGTTGTTCCTTTAAAGTTAGTGTTACCTGTTAATAATTACAAATACAGCATGATTGTGTTTTAAAAACAAACAAACAAACCAAAAAACAAATGAGCTGTAACAAATAAAGTTGCTTATAATTTATTTCCAACATAATACAAAATATTTTTTCCTTCTGGTGGTTTCTCTTCATGATTACTGAAGACTGAATAGTTTTAGCTATTTAGATGCTCTAACAGAATTACAGGATACAGAGGGAAATAAAAAGCAGTAAATGATTTGTTCTCTTTAGATCAGTTTGTAGGGACAGTGCTGTTCTTTGATATGACCTTTATTATTTCATACTACATTAATTTTCATGTGTTAATCAGTGAAAAAAAAAGCTGAACAATTCAGTATGCCATATTTCTACAGCAAATCCTGAGGTCTCACGGTTTTTGACTGAAGTCAGTGAATCTGTTCAAACATCAAGAATCTTTTTTATAGATCTGGTTTCAGGATCAGTGAATAGTTTCGAGCTTCTTGTATCATTTGTGTTAAAAATATTTTATTATAGATCATTTTATTGTTTTTCGTTTTTATTTTTAAAGGTTAGTGCTTAAATATTTAATCAATAGCTACTTTATATAAACTGAAAAGAGCTTTTCATTCATGTATACTGGCACATAAAATGTCTACTTATTTCTGAACCATACTGCACTGCAAGTCTCTTGTTCTTAAATAGGATTTCCTGATGCCTTTAAAATAATATAAGCCAGTATATGTCTTTTCACATAAATGTACATTCTAAGAATATGACCATCTCCCCCAAACTTCTATTTCTTATTTTCTCTGAATTAAAGTTGTATATCACTACCCCTATGGTTTGACTCTCATCTGTTTCAATATAACTTTTCCCCAAACCACCAGTTTCTCATGTTATATCTTATTTTCTTGGACAAGCTAGTGAGGTAGCATTCAAGTCAGAAAAGTGGCAGGTTCCTACACCTCTCTCAACTACTCTTCCCTTATTTTACATGAACAGCTCCCAGAGATGCAGTGGTTCAGATAATCACACAGTCCTATTCACACTGCTTTGCCCTAGCAGCTTACAACACTTGCTGGTAAGGTCAGGCTGAATGGGACTTTGAGCAAACTGGTTTAGAGGGAAGTGTCCCTGCCTATAGAGGGGGTTGGAACTAGATAATCTTAAAGGTTTCTTCCAACCCAAACTATCCTATGATTCTATGATTATGTAGATTAATCATTTGCTGAACAGCTACAGCAATTACAAATAGATACCTCCAGCACATTTTGCACTCAGTAAGAGAGTGGGCTAGTATGCTTGCACTGAACTTTAGCATTGTTCAGGATCTTCCATACTGCACTGTCAAGGAGCTTCAGCATTAGAACTGCCTGACTGAAGCCAGCATAGGTATTTGCCTGTGCTCTGTTGTGAACTTACAGATTAACAGCAAGATTCATCTTCTGTGATAACTTCAGAGAACATATGGAATTTGAAACTATGCACTACAAGAACTGTTTTTATATAATTTACCTTTACCAACCTTCTCCCTTGGTACAGACAGTTTAGATGGCAGCTTAGGAGGCAGAGGTCTACGAAGTAGTTTTGGCTGCTCAGCCATTTTCTGCTTTGCCTTTGTTCCTGACAGATGACTGAAGATGTTTCCAAAGATCAGAAAAATCTGACAAGAAGACAAAACAAAAGAAATAGTCATCTCTAGTATAATGTGCTGAACTATGAATGGTCTGCTCATACAAACTGGGCAATACAAGAATCATAACACAGCACAAGTGGCCAAAAAGGGAGATATGTTCTCTTAATGATTGATTCAACAGTTTTTCTAATTATCGTTAGTGTTTCAAGAAATAAATCAGTGATAAAAAGAACCTGAAAGAGCTATTCCATTAACCTTGGAATGCTTCCATTAAAGAATGATTTTCAGCACTTTTGCCACAGAAGGCAAGGCAAAGTTCTTCTTGTCTGAGGAAAAGGAGGAGCAGGAAATTAGTGAAGCACCCCACATTAAGCATTCTGAAAGGTCTCAGAAATAGTTTTCTGCTGGATAAACAGATTTAGTATGAACAACAGTTGACCCAGTTTAAAAAAAAAAAAAAAAGCTGAGTATGCAAGTAGTATATTTATGCTTCTTTCCGGCTTCCTTTTAGATTATGATTGCATACAATGATATTTATTTAAATCATAGAACTCCTGATTTGGTTTCAGAAGTCCTCTCATTACCAGCCAAGTTTAACACATTTCTGCTTCACAGTGATTTTCAAGGTTAGCTATGTTCCAGATTAACAAGTTTAGGTTTCTTTTTTTTTTTGGTATAGAGCTAATATGACATAAGACATAAAATAAAGGCTCAGTCTTAAAGAACTTGTAATCAGAAGGAAAGCACAGAAGACAAACCAGAGATGGCGACTTTGAAGAGAAATGAGAAGTGCCATAATCAGAAAACTACTGGCTCATGGGAATATTTACAAAGAGTAAGAAAATTCTCACATAAACAAACAAAAAAGGGGATTTCTAGGAAAAGAAAATACTTCAATAATCAATTTTGAAGATAGGTAAGCTTGAGACTTCAAATTTCCATATGGACAAGATTAATTTAAATGGAAGTGTAGCATTATAAAAACTGTAATCAACGAAGATTGTGATGAAAAGAATGAACACTGTCCTGAACCACATAAGAAGGATCAAGTTCAGATTTGACATTCAGCTTACAAACTTGAATGACAATAAAACAAGGGGATGGAGAAAGGAAGAAGCAGAAGCTTAAAAAGGAAGCCTGGAGTTCAGTGTTAACCACGGCAAGTTTGAATGAATGGTCAAACATCACAACAAGCATAATAATAATGATAATAAACCAATAACAACAACAACAACCCACAATGCAGGAATTCTTACCAAGCCAAAGATCAGTTTCAAGAACTGGAAAAAAAAAAAACAACATTCCATAGTCATGTCTTGGCTTCCTGCGTGATCCACTACATCTTACCGTTCCAGTCTTTCACTGCCAGATTCTGCCTGGCACTGGACCATAGCACAGGACAATCATCCAGGCTGGAAAGGACAGGAGGGTTGACTGTGAACTCCAAGTAGGATACTAAGAGCTTTAACCAGTCTGGTCTTGAAAACCACCAAGGATGGAGACCTCAAAGCCCTCTGTGCAACCTCTGTGCCTCCTGCAACACTGATAAAAATCAGGATGTAGAGTTCACAGCTGATAAGCACACACACATAAGCATGGAAAAATGTCCCTCGTTTCTCTCATGTAGGTTGCTTGGGTTCAAACTGGCTGACGGATTAAGGAGTGTGAGTGGTGTTTCAGTAAGAAATCAAAGAATCAATTGAGTTGGAAGGGACCGTTAAATTTCATCTAGTCCAACTCCCCTGCAATGAACAGAGACAGCTACAGCTCTGTCAGGTGCTCAGAGCCCATCCAGCCTGACCTTCAATATCTCCAGGGATGGGGCATCCACCACCTCACTTGGCAACCTGTGCCACTGCCTCACCACCCTGACTGTAAAATATTTCTTCCTTATATCCAATATCTAAATCTTCCCTCTTTTAGTTTGAAACCATTTTCTCTTGTCTTATCACAACAGACCCTGCTAAAGTGTCTGTTCCCTTATTTCATACAGTCTTCCTTTTAATACTGCAAGGCTGCTCTCAGGTCTCCCCAAAGCCTTCTCTTCTTTGGACTGAACAGCCCCAGCTCTCTCAGCCTGTCCTCATAGGAAAGGTGTTCCATCCCTTGGATCATTTTTGTGGGCTTCCTCTAAACGTGCTCCCGCACATCTGTCTCTCCTGTACTGAGGATTCCACATCTGGATGCCCAGTACTCCAGGTGGGGTCACACCAGTGCCGAGTAAAGGGGCAGGATCACCTCCCTTGCCCTGCTGGCCACACTGCTTTTGATGCAGTCTATTATATATTTGACTTTCTGGACTGTGAGGGCACACTGCTGGCTCATGTCCAGCTTACCATCCACCAGTACCCCTATGTCCTTTTGGCAGGGCTGTGCTCTATCCTTTCATCCCCCAGCTTGTACTCACAGTGGGGTTGCCACTACCCAGTTGCAAGACCTTGCACTTGGCTTTGTTGAACCTCATGAGGTTCACACGTGTCCTCTGCTCTAACCTGTTTAGGTCTCTGCATGGCATCCAGTCCCTCAGGTATGTTGACTGTACCACACAGCTTAGTGTCATCCACAAACTTGCTTAGGGTGCACTTGGTTCACAAAATCACAGAAACACCAACGTTGGAAAAAAACCTACAGGATCATCCAGTCCAACCATTCGCCTATCACCAACAGTTCTCACTAAGCCACGTCCCTCAATACAACATCCAAACGTTCCTTAACACTTTCAGGGTCGTGACTCCACCACCTCCCTGGGCAGCCCATTCCAGTGCCTGACCACTCTTTCAGAAAAGTAGTATTTCCTAACGTCCAGCCTAAATCCCCCCTGGTGCAGCTTGAAGCCATTCCCTCTAGTCCTATCACCAGTTACAAAAGAGAAGAGGCCAACCCCCAGCTCACTACAACTTCCCTTCAGGCAGTTGTAGAGAGCAATAAGGTCTCCCCTGAGCCTCCTCTTCTCCAGACTGAACAATCCCAGCTCCATCAGTCGCTCCTCATAAGGCCTGTGCTCCAGACTCCTCACCAGCTTGGTTGCCTTCTTTGAATCCACTCCAGGGCCACAACGTCTTTCTTGCAGTGAGTTGCCCAAAACTGAACACAGTACTCAAGGTGTGGCCTCACCAGAGCTGAGTACAGGGGGATGATTCCACTGTCAGTGTCACTGATGAAGATGTTAAAGAGCACTAGTCTCAGTACTGACTCTCAAGGGATGTGCCTCATCACCAGTCTCCAACCAGACATCGAACCACTGACCACCACTCTTGGTACCTATCTTGTAACCAGTTCCTCATCCATTGAGCAATCAATCTGTCAAACATGTATCTTTCCAATTTGAAGAGTAGGATGTTATAGGGGACCGAGTCAAAAGCTTTACTGAAGCCCAGTGTCTCTTTCCTTGTCCACTCACACCGTTTCACCATCATAAAAATCAGCAAGTTTGGTCAGGCAGTACCTACCCCTAATGAAGCCATGCTGGTTATCCCATATCACCTCCCTCACTTCCACGCATCTCAGCATAGTTTCCAGGAGGATCTACTCCGTGGTCTTCCCCACCACCAAAGTGAGGCTGACAGATTGGTAGTTCCCTGGCTCATTCTTTCCATCCTTCTTAGACATGGGTGTGACACTGCCTTTTTTCCAGTCACCAGGAACTTCACCTGACAGCCACAACTTTTCACCAATACTCTGAGGAACACTGCCTGCAAATCAGCAGGAATAGAACAGACTGGAAAAAAGAAATGAAGGCCTAGGATGAAAGTAGAGACAAAGAACTTCCGACAGCGAGTGCAAGCAGTTGGCTCAAAGTGAAAACTGCAGAGGAAACCCTGAAGTTTGAAAACAAGCAGGATGGATACAAAGGAAGGCAAGAGTCTGGATGGGGGCAGTGGAGGAAGTGCAGCACAAACAAGAAACCCTGGTGTTTCCAACAGGGTATCAGTGCTGTTCCTGCTAAAAGAGAGAGGAAGGATAAAAGCAAGCAAGATTTTTGCATGAGATTAAACTATTATAGTTATTGAGATTCTGGGTAAAAATCAAAGTGGGAACAGAAACAAGAAGTTGAAAGACTGCAGGGTTGTGGTCACAACTGTATGTCTAGCTTAACTCCAGACAACAGTAAGCTGAACCAGCAGGCTGCCAGTGCTGGAGAAGGCAAGAAGCAGATTAGTTGTGGAAATTCAGTGTGGCAGAGGAGCAAAGGAAGAGGGTGTCTGGGAGGAATCCTGCCACACAGATTCTGGCAACAGGGCAGGAGAGCAAAGCCAAGGCAGGACAGAGAGAGGAGACACTGACAGCAAACATCACAGAGACTTGAGCTGTGGAACAGAAGAAACCTCAACGCAGCTGTGTCCTGCTCTAACACGGCCAAATAGCAGGAATGCTTTAAGGTGGTCCACCTGACCCTGTCAACGCCGCAGACCCTGGCATGGCCACCTAAGGCACCGCTCTTCAGCCTCCCAGCTCCGACACTACCACACGCTCCAGCCAGAACCACTGGGGGCTTCAAACTAAAAGAGGGAAGATTTAGATATTGGATATAAGGAAGAAATATTTTACAATCAGGGTGGTGAGGCAGTGGCACAGGCTGCCCGGAGAGGTGGTGGATGCCCCATCCTTGGAGACATTGAAGGTCAGGCAGGAGGGGCTCCGAGCACCTGATGGAGCTGTGGGTGTCCCTGCTCATTGCAGGGGAGTTGGACCAGATGAACTTTAAGGGTCTGCAGCTGTCTCGCTACACGTGGGATCTGAGGTGCCCTCTTACCAACCCTGCTAGGAAACTCACCCTACACCTGCCTCGCCTGTAGCAGCATTCCCCACCCCGCTGAACGGCGCAGAGCAGCGGGAGAGCCCAGCTCCCTTCCTCCCCCACCCGCACCGTCTCCCCTCGCGCCGCTCCCGCCAACCGCCTCCTGTCAGCAGAGCCGGCAGGGGGGAGGGCGTGATCACGTCGGTTTGAGGGCGTGGCCAAGAAAAGGGGGCGTGGTTATGTTGATTTGGGGGCGTGGCCAAGCGGAGAGGGGCGGGGCCCACGTGGCGCGGCCCGGCGCGGAGCGGGTGGCAGCAGGCGGCGGGGTTGCGGCATCCCGGCCGCCCCGCGCCGGGTAGCGGCACCGCCTGTTGCAACGTGCCTCCTCGCTGGTAATTATCCTCGCGCCGCTGGTTTCTTTTGATTTATTATCATAATTAAAAGCTATATTTCCCACGGGCGGGAAAAAAAAAAAAAAAAAAAGCAATAAAAAAGCGACCCGCGGCCGCTTGTATGGGTAGGAGCTGCTGCCGGATCCGTGCGGCTCGGTGCGGGGTTAGCCGAGGGCGTGCGGGGACCGGGGCCGGGAGGCAGAGCTGGGGGCTCAGCCCCGGTGCGAGAGCGGTGTGCTGCGGCGGTGCGCTCCGGGCGACCGGACCTGGTGGAAGAGTCAGCCGTGAGGGACACGGAGGTGCGGGCTGAGGGCAAGCGCTGCTGGCAGCTCTGTTGGATGGGAGTGGGTTTGGGGAGTGATGAGTACACTCTCGTGCCATCCTTCTGTATCCCGAACCGCCTCAGCGATACTTTGAAATCTCAGCGTTTGTTCTTTACGTTCCTTTTTATCCGCAGAGTCCCCCCAAAAGACAACTCCTTTATAAGCAGTGCTTGGTTGGAGAATATCTGAAGGTCATTTCTTTGATTCGCTCTGGAAGTGGAGAGAAGCTGTTTGCATGTTGCAGATGACTCTGCTGTTTGTACCCTGCCTGCAAGGTTATAACGCTTTCTTCCCAGAGTGGCAGCAATCGATGTCCCTCCTTGCACTCCCTCTGCTTCTGCTCCTCCCTTGTGCATAAGTAGAGGTCAGTGAGGGGTGTAGGATGAGGGAAAAATTCAGATCTCCTTCTATAAATGAAGCTGTGTAAATGAAATCAAAGGTATGGCCGCAACCTGCATAGCAGACGCCAGCGGGGAATTATTTATGTGAGGCACTGAGGCATTTACATTCATTTTATGTAATCATCGCTCAAGGATCAATACTGTGCCCGAGTGATTCATTTGATCGTTTGTTCCCATGCTAAGCATTGCAAGATTAAAAACAGAGCATCACAGCTCAGAGATACCTCTGACATCCGCACCATCAGTTCTCCCATGTTGGGCTATGAGCTGACTGGGGCACGACCTGCCGTGTCACTGTCTCTGCACAGCAGTGACATTGATGTCCCCATGGAGGTGTGGCTACCAGGGACTATGGGTGACTGGTGGGAACCCCCTGCAGCTCCATCCCAGTGCTCTGCGAGAGGTGGGATGGGGTGACTGATGGCACCTTTGGGTCAAGTAGAACCAGAGCAGGCACCTGGGACTGGGAATCCATGAAAGTGATGCCCCTGGGGAAGCCTTGCAGCATAACAGAAGGAGATCAGAGTCCTCCTACTGAAACCTTTTATTTGTGTTGGTGCTGTTGAAAACATGGCACTGGGCTGTGGTCTTCCCTTTGCAGGATTTGGTGAGCAGCAGTAGGTGTAATTAAACAAGCCTGTGCTAAAATATGTACTTCCTCTTCAGCTGAGTGTTGACTTTGTTTTGGGTTTGTTGTTGGCTGAGCCCCACTGCACCAGGTGTTGTGGGGGTGAGCCAGTTGTGCATGTGATGATGGCACTGTGGCAGTACAGCCTAGAAAAGCTCTGGCTGGATGGGACCTTTTGGGTAGGTGCTGGTTGGTTGGATGGTGTCTATTAGCTGCTTCCACAGTGATCATCACAGTTTTTTCTCTTGAACATAGGGTCCTTCATTGGAAGTTATATGATTTTCCTTGTTATTGCAGAACCCACACTTCAGTTTTGAGGTTTGGTGAGATAAGTACCAATCATGTACCAGTGTGGGTTACCAAAACAAAGTGATATAATCAGAGAAAAGTCTAGACTAGCACGACGTAAGTCTGCCTGCTGACCTTTAGTGTTGGAGCCATGAGGAACACAAGTGGAAACTGACAAATTGGTAATAGCATTACGAGGCTGACATGAAGGATGGTTTTCTAAATTGTTGGTGTAGTGTGCATAGAAAACATTGCTGCTTTTCTCTTTGTATTTTGCTTTTCACGAGCTCTCCCTGGGCTGCCTGTGAACAGACGCCCATCCCAGCCACCTCTGGTGTGCTCCAAATTTAGTCTTGCTTGGGGACCTGAGTGTTAGAGAGTGGAAATACTGTCTGTATAAATGTCTGCTATATGTAGGCTTCCTCTTTTCCTTCCCTCTGTCTGTTACCTGGTGACCCTTCATATTTGCCATGCTTGACAGAAGCCAACAGCGTACGCTTGTGGCTCAGAAGGTTGGCAATATCCTGTCCTGCATCAACAGAGGGGTGGTCAGCAAAGAGTGGGAGGTGATTGTCCCCCTCTACTCTGCCCCTGTGAGGCCCCATCTGCAGTACTGTGTCCAGGTCTGGGGTCCCCAGTACAGGATGAATACAGAGCTGTTGGAGTGGGTCCGGAGTAGGGCACTAAGATGCTCAGAGGGCTGGAACACCTCTCCTATGAGGAAAGGTTGAAGAGTTGGGTTTGTTAAGCTTAGAGAAGAGAAGGCTCCAGGGAGACCTCATGGCAGTCTTCCCGTGCTTAAAGGGAGCTTATAAGCAGGAGAAGGACTGAACTTTATACGCAGTCTGATAGTGATAGGACAAGGGTTATGGTTTTAAACTTAGAGGGGAGGCTTAGATCAGATACTAGGGGAAATCTGTTTTACTCAGCGGGCTGTGAGGCACTGGGGCAGGCTGCCCAGAAAAGCTGTGGGTGCCCCATCCCTGAAGGCACTCAAGGCCAGGTTGGACGGGCCCTTGGCAGCCTGAGCCCTGGGTGGCACTGCCAATAGCAGGGGTTAGAACTGCATGGGCTTTAAAGTCTCTTTGGACCCAAACCATTCAGTGATTCTCTGATTTACAGTGCATTCATTTCCTCCTCTGTTACTGTCACTTAATCAGTATTTTGAATAAACCATATTTACGTTTTAGTCTACTTTAGCCATATTCAATATGTTCTTATTGTCATTATCCTTATACTTTTTTTTTTTCTTTTTTTGGTGTTTTTATTCTGCATCTCTACTTACTGTATTTCCTGAGCTAACGTTTCCAAGCTCAAATTTATTTCTGTTTGTTCATTTTCATTACTGAACCTTCAGTATTTAATCTTCTTCCCTGTTTTCATATTATTAGCATTAGTAGACTGTTTCTATATTGTGAATGCACATCTTTGACTACAGTTTCAGGAAGCCATGGAAGTAGTTACATAGGGTTTTCTTCTGCAAACAAAACTTCAGAATAAGGTATAAGCATTTCATTTTATCTTTACAAGCCATTAACCTGCAGAATGTTGATCATTTGCACAGAGAGGTTGTGGATGCTTCAAACCTGGAGGCAATGAAGGGAAGGCTGGATGTGGCTCTGGGCAGCCTGATCTGGTGATTGGTGACACTGCACACAGCAGGGGGGTTGAAACTAGATGGTCATTGTGGTCCTTTTCAACCCAGGCCATTCTATGAGTCTATGATTTTGGGTGATACCACATGGAGCCAGGAGTTGGACTTGATCCCTGTGTAGGTCCTTTCCAACTCAGGATATTCTGTGATTCTATGATTTTGGCTGGGAACAGTCATACGTATGAGCTAAGAAAGCATGCCTGCTTTTACATCAGAGAAGCCTCCTTCCTTGAAGCATTTCATTTTCACATCATTCACTGAGCAGGAGATGTGGGTAGATGACTCCTGAGATCCCTTTTGATCAACATATCTACAGTCTTTTCTTCTCAGCCTGCTTATACTGGGTACTCTAGGATGGAAGGGCATGGTTAAAACTTGTGTCATCGTCTTTGAGACAGCAGAATGGCAGCACATACCTTCCACATCACACTGATGTCAGTGAATGCATACATTTTTGGAAAGAAGGTCACTATGCTTTCTGGAATTGACTTTCCCAAAGACAAAGCACAGTAAAACTGCAGTCAAAAGATAATTGTTTCAAAGACTTCAGTATTTTACAAAATAGCTTTGTTCCTGTAAACAGAAATAGCCGTATTTCCTATCAGAGGATTTTCTTCCTTCAGTACAGTTCCTGTCATCTTCCTGTTATGTTGCTTAATCTGGAAATAAAGCAGTCTTCTAAACTTCTCTAAACGTATCATTTATTCTTTTTTTTTTTTTTAACAAATGGAATAATGGAATTGCCTATCCCTGCCAATGGCAACATATATATATATATATATAGGGGAAAAGTTCCATTTATTGCATGTGCTGATCAAAGGGAGCCAGTGTGCTGTGTAAGAGTGGAACTGAGAGATTATTTTGTACTGAGGAAAGCGTGTGCAAGAGCTGCTGGTTTTTGTTTTGTTTTGTTTTTCATAGTCTTATGCGCAGATCATGTTAAATAGCAAAGATGCAAAAAGCAGCAAGTATCTTCTGTTATGGAGAAGTTTCAAGTTGAATCATTGAAGACACATATCTAAGATTAGATACTTCTTTGTTTCAGGATTATGAAAAGTTACATGAGAACATTCTCCAACTTTTTTTTATAAACAGAAGTTTCTGGATGACTGGAAAGTTGTCAATATAGTTTTTCTTCTGTTGCTTATGGGAAGAAATTGAAAGATGAGGTTTCAGTGGATCTTCTAGGCAAATGCTTCTTAGCATTTACAAGAAAATAAATCATTTAAGCCATATGTTGAAATGTCAATTCAAGCTTTATAGCCTTTTTGAAAATTTGAAAGCATCTGTGCTCCTAAGTGTCAGTAAAATTTTATAGCATTTATGCCTGGTTGTATACCATCATGACTTGCTGTAAGGAGGAATATTAAGTACAGATTGTGATATTTTACTCATGCAATATAAATGCTTGAAAATTTAACCTGTGCTTATTGGTTAAATTTGGCAAATTATTGTTGATTCTTCCCTGCCACATATATTTGTTATGGCCTTATTTTTTTTCCACTTGTGTATCCGGGTCAGAGTTTTCAAAACAAATTGTGGCTTTCA